TAAAAGTAAAACCATAGAACTCAGAAAGTGTTGCAACATCAATTGGTAACGAAGTGGTGTAATATTTAAAGTCCAATACATCATAATTAAAGTACACGAAATTATTTAAATTGGGTTTATATCTTGAATTATTCCCTATATAAGTCAAAAAACTAGCTAAAATATATATTTAGAAGATAAAATATATTTTATAGTATACTTTCCTTCACATTACAAACAGTGTAAGCAACTGAGGTCAATAAGAAGCATTCTACACATCAATTTTTTCTTTATATTTATTCATGTTTGATCAGCAGTAATTCTAACATATTTGTTGCACTTTTACCAAGAGCATGGGAGTCTTTAAAGTAAAAATTGTGAAGCGAAAATTACTTCAGAACTTGTTCTGTTGTTTCAGTGAGGTTGAGGCCGATTTACTTGAGTTTTATAACAATTCTGCAGCATGTTTATTTTTTACATTCATAAAAAATCAAAGAAAAGATAAAAACACATCTGAAAATTGAAAGAGAGAAGGATTTTAATAATAAAACTATCAATAATTTAGTACAATTATTCAAATAGATCATTATTAATTAAAGAATATTTCTTAGCATGAATAGACGTCTTTTCATCATATGACTTGAATCTTTAAAGATACATGTATGTGTTGCGTTTCTGACCTTAGAAATAGATATCTTAAACATAGACAGAACCTGTAATTGAAAAATCTTTTTGGTAGAAATGTTCTTTGTGTCTTTATTTTCCAAAATAAAAAATCAGAGAATCATATACTGATGATAGTTTTTTTTTCATGCTGGGGAGCAAAACATTCAATGTTGCACTCCTGACACTAGTGCGGATGCACAGATACTTGACTCTAATCGATGCTGCTTGTGATTTATATATTTTAAAGTTTTAAATTGTATATCAGTTATTGTTTTACACTATGATTCTTTTTTGACTTAATTGACTTTCATTAAAATTGGTGGGTTTTTTTTGGCAAAACTACCTTTTTTTTGTTTCACCCCTGACATGGTATTAATAACATTTTTTTCAACATCAGTCATGACCACAACTTGGTCAAACAAAAGTTGTTACAGTCAACATTTAAAGCTCAGTACTTTGAATATTATCAGGAAAGTCTTTATTTCCAGCATAAACCATTATTATTTATTTCACAGATCTTCAAAAAAAAAAAAAAAAAAAAAAAAATAATAATAATAATAATAAATAAATAAATAAATACTGAATTTTCAAAATGTCACAAAAAGGTGTTGCACTCCTGACATTTTTAGCATCATTTTTGGGCATAACTTTTTTGTGAATTGAGATATCAATGAGATATTTGGCAGATATTTAGACACTATTCAAAGACATATGATGAGACATTGTAATTCCCATTGACTGTATTCTTAGTACAAGTTATAAATATGTGTTTGGTCATTATTTTTAATTCACCCTTATCGCAAACCATTTAAAGGACAAGTTTGTGGCCCCATACTTCTAGTTTTAAGTTTGTGCCCGCTTTCATCCTACCCCACCCCACCTTTTGTCAGTTTCTGGATACACCAATGCATTGAAACAGATAAAGATATTGTTTTATTATTTTTAGATAAAAAAAATCAGAGCAAGCAAGACGTATGAAACGGTCAATATGGAGATGCGATAATTTACTGTTATTACTGCTTCACATTTAAATCATGTAATATTTTCCCCCCTCTTTTTATAGGTTTATTCACCCTTATTTATTACTGAATATTTATACCCCCGCTCCGAAGGAAATAAGGGGTATATTGCTTTACCCCTGGGCCTCTCTGTGTGTGTGTGTGTGTGTGTGTCCAATTAATTTTTTTGTCAGTTTTCCCTGCAACTACTCATCTTAGGCCCATCTCTCTTCAACATTTTTATTTAAAGTATTTTGATGAACTTAAAACAGGCAATTGTGATTCTTTCCGAATTAGCGAAATCACTGTTAATTGTTTATCATATGCTGATGATATTGTTTTATTATCTGAAAGTGAGACTGGATTACAGAATTGTTTGAAAATTCTCGAAACATATTGTTCTATTTTCTTAAACTAAAAAGTTAAGTTTTGCTTTAATAGCCAATGTCCAGAAATAATGAAAATAACACACTCATTTATTAAAAATATTTGTATAAATGTATGAACAATTGATGATTCATATATGTTGTGACTTTGCCAATCATTGTAATTGTGTTTGCGCCAATAAACAAGACAGACGAGACTAAAACAAAATGTCTCCGATCTTCGATCTCGGGGGCATAAAAAAATACCAATAGTTCCCTACGAATGAGATAGAATTACTGGCAATATACTCCCCTGTGACGGTACATATTTTCGTCGGAGACAATATGTACCTACCCTCAGCATGCTCAGTGCACATATTGTCGTTGATCGGTACATATTGTTGCCGGCTGAAAGTTACACATGTACGTATTGTCGCTGGCGACATCATGTTACCATTTTGTTACCTACCCTTACTGCACATATTGTAGCCCCCCCCCCCCCCAGATATTGTTGCAAAAAGTTTTTTTGTCTTTTTTTTTTAGTTTTGAGAATGTAATTGGTGTGTAAATCACTCTGACGTGTCTCGTATGCTAATTCATGCAGCGTGATTGTGACGGTACATTTTGCCGTCCTGTTCATATTGTCGCCGGTGACAACCTACCCTCACTACACTTATTATCGTCTATCGGTACATGTCACATGACGATGTTTCCATATAAATATGAGAAATCATTGCTTTGCTGTTTTTGAGATTTTAAAGAATTTTTCTATACATTCCTTTGTAAATCCTTCATCGCCCACTGTGGCCCCACCCTAGCCCCGGGGGTAACGATTTGAAGAAACTTGAATGTACACTATGTAATGAAGATTTCACGTAAGTACATATATCAACTGTTCTTAAATTCTTAAGAAGATTTTGAAAGATTTTTTTCCTACATACATGTATTCCTATGTAAAACTTTGATCATCTATAACTATTGTGATCCCATCCTTCCCCCGGGGATCATGGTCTGAATAAAATAACGTCTAAACTTTATAATGAAGTTTTTAATTTTCAGGCACAGTGATTCTTGAGAAGATTTTTAAAAAGATGCCACTAAATTTTAACCAATTCTTAATTATCTTCCCTTGATGGGGGACATGGCCCTTCATCTAAACCAAAAATTCCCTTTATCCACGGATGCTTTGTGGCAAGTTTGGTTGAAATTGGCCAGTAGTTAATGAGAAGCTAAAAATGTGAAAAGTTTACAGCTTTCAGCTCAGGTGAGCTAATTATGTTTACCCTAACCCCAATTATATAAGAATAACGCAAAAATATTTTCCAGATAATCATTACTATTGAACAAAATAATTAACATTCAATCTCCTAGTATATATAACGAGAATAAAAGAATAGGCTGATTTATCAGATATATCATGAATTATGCTAATCTTGGCTTAATATAGTGGTGTACACAAATCCTGAAAACAGTTTTCTGACCAAAACCTTGTCTCCCTCCAGTATTGCAAGCAATGCTAAATATAGCACATACTAGTATTGTCGCCGGCGACAATATGTACCGATGGACGACAATATGTGCAGTGAGGCTGGATACATATTAGAACGACAATATGTACAGTCACATCCCCTTCCTTGATCATTATAGATAGATGTATAATCTGCATTACCATGCACATAAGCACGATGTAAATAAACTCCTTATATAAGGAGGATTTTCGATGAAAGAAAAAAGGCATTTTTTTCACTTTTATCCTAAAACCCCTTTTATATTTTGAAACCTCGTATCACACAGCAAGGACGCTTAATTTGGGTATAGGAAAGACGTACTTGGCCAGAAGGGAAATTTTTTTTCTATGGGGTAGCAAATTCAAAGCGTGGGTTACAACCCCGTGGCCCTTTCCCCTCAAAACTCGCTACAATAGATACGCTGAAACGAATCTCGTGTGATACTTGATTCTAACACAATGTGTTACAATGCTTCTTTTTTTTGTACTTCTATATTTTTTGCACAGGCTACTTCATAAACTTCAAGTGTGCTAATATTGCCAATCATACTTAGGAAAAAAATATGTAAAGAACTGCGAACGATAGTATTGTACTCCCGCCTACCTCCAAGTCAGTTTTCAAAAGTTAAGATATTCGAATGATTTTTAATATTTATATTGATATTTATATGGATTTTCATAAAACATTACTTCTTTGGGAAAACAACGAGAGATAACTCTAAAATTTTGGTAAAACTCGTGTTTTTCACTATAGAAGTCAACGAAAAACGGAAAATATTTTTAAACCATCTCCCCTCCCCCCCCCCCCCCCCCGTGAAACAAAAATTCCTTTTTATGGGTAATATGGACTGTCATTTCACAAATTCATACCAAAGCTTTTTGTGTTTCACGGGGGGGGGGGGGGGGGGGGGACATATGTTTATATACAAAAAAAGACAAAAATGCTTATTTTTCAGAAATTTCCAAGTGCTTTACAACTGAAACATTAATTTTTACTAATATATATGCTTAATTTTATATGCATAAAACATAAGAAAAGATTTAAGAAACATTTATTCATATCCAAGACTATTTCAGAATATGGTGATGTTTTATAGCCCGATTTCAGTGGAAAATATCGTCTACCCCCCTTATTTTAAGAGCTGGAATTAGGGATATTTTACTATTTAGCACTGGAATTAAAATAATTAATCAATTACCATTGAACTGTTCTTTGTATTAAACAAAGATTTTATGGCCGAATTGTAATCAATATTGAATTAAGTGGTTGTAAAATGTAGGCGGGAATCGGGAGTTACCGTGCGTAGTTCTTAGACTGAGAAGCTTTTCCATAATTCAACATTCGATTTTTTCTATTGGTAAAAATCATTTTATTCATACATAATTCTATTCACAAAAGGTGAATGGGATTGGGCTTATGTGACAGGCTCTGCGTGTCTTTTACTAGTATTTCAAGTTCACTGGGATATATTGAGATGACATGTGATTGAAAATATTTTTTTTTACTTGATAATACATCATCAATATATTAAAATGTAAAATCGAAGGATACTGCAGTAAATTTCTTCTCATGTAGAAGTTTTTGAATAAATTCTGCTTCATAAGAAAATACAAAAACATGTTGACTAACAAAGGAGTACAATTAGAGCTCACTGGGATTCCAACAGATTGTTGAAAGACCTGGTTTCCAGAAACTACATAGATGTGTCAATGAGGAACTCCAGCATCTTTTTAATATTAACTCAAAAGTATATTGTTGTGCACTCAACTCTGGAGTCAATAGTGTCCAATCCGATCTCAGTTCAGTTCAGCAATTTGGTGCATCTTAGTAACTAATGTGTCAGACTGTTGATTGTATGATTGTAAAACAAAACTCTTTTATCTTCTAATGGTTTACTGTAAAAGTATACAAATTACTTTTCTCCCTCTCTCTTCCTCTCTATACATTTACAAATTTATATATATAGTTGGCTTTTTTAAAGTCCTATACAACATGGTGCAAAAATTACTTTTGTTAAAATTGTCTAACAATATCATTTTTCTTTCCAAAAATACATGCAGTGTTGTTAAAGCACTTTGCTTTTGATGAAAACCTGCCTTACATTGCACTTATTAAAGTTATTTGTAGCATAATATTCCAAAATGAGAAAAAAATGTGACGCTAATGAATACACAAATACACAAAGTACTAAGGGAAATTTCCACTTTCCTTGTTGAATCTTTCGATAAGCTGATATATCAACAACAATCAGGTACAAAACAGTTGGCATGGTTATCAATGGGATAAAAAAAATTGTAGAAATTTATTTGCATCAGATCATTTGAGTGAAAAGAAATTCACCTATAAACCAAGACTGCTTTCAACTTGCATGATCACAACTTTGAACACATATCTATAAATAACATTTTAAAAATAATACCATCACATAACACAAACTGGTCTATTCAAAAATATTAAAGATTTTCCAGAAATTTCTTGCACTATGACCCTGTGGAATTCTGCTCCATTGATACCTCTACAGAATGACCTGCTACTTTCACAATGTCATTTATATTGGCCACTGTGGCACCAGCTGCTGATATTGGTGTCATGGCAACTTGTACATGTTGAGGATCACTTCCTGTTGACATGCCAACTGTTGCCCCGGTAATTGTTTGGTACATGGATACAGGTATTGTAACTATTCCTGTTCAAAAAAGCATAGGAAACTTAAAGATTCTACAAAAACCTTATCTTTACATCATTTTTCTTTCATTTTGCTGTTCTTTTGAGCAAAGCTAAATCACTTTGTTCGGATTGACAGAAGTGAGTACACAGTATTTACAAATGGATGATTAAAAAGAAAAACAGAACAAACCTCCAATATGAGAATCATCTGCTAAAATGATTTGGTGACCTTGACTTATAGGAAGGGCATTGACCTGGCCCGTTTCTGGGTTCATCTCCATGGTGATAGGCTGTGTCGTCATGCCCTGAGGGACCTCGTGATGAGTGGCTACATCCGCTAGAGTCTGCACTGCCTGTGTGGCCTCCTGTTGGCCGATGTTGGGGATCTGTAATGGTTAAAATTACAAGTGTGACATTTCTTTGCTTTTACAACAAATTAATTGAATTTTAGCCGTACAAGTATAACTGGCTTAACTGAATATATTCCATTCTATAAATTCACTGAAATCCTACAACAATAAAGAACAAGACATGATTGCCTAGAAGAACAAGTGACACAGTTGTTTTTAAACTTTTTCTAGTAGCATCCCTAGCTATTAATGCATACTACATGTATATGAATTACACAGAAAGACTTACAGCATGTACAACTGTGGCCTGTGTTCCGTCAGCCAGGGTAACCACAGACTGAGGTGATGTGTCAATCTGTATAAAGGACACGGTGCCGTCAGGATTGTTAATGGTCTGTACCATGGTCCCCGTAAAGGCCTGGGCCTGGGGGAGAGGCTGTGAGGAGGGTCCAGAGTTTTCCTCACTGAACACATGAAGTAGGTCTTCACGACCGTGGTGTTTGTAGCAATTTTTGACAATGGCCCGCAATGCCTCAGTCCAAGATACCTTGATAAAAAATTAGAAATGTAATTAATTTTTTAAAGTACTCAGAAAATATTTTTAAGAAGAGAAAACGAATGAATGTAAAATAAATGATTAAACCCCTACTTGATAAGTATCAACTTTGGTTTCATATTTCATGTTGCAAATCAGTTTTTGCCATTTTTTGTGGTTGAGGCAGATCATAAAATTAAGTGATCAATAAGCTACAAATTTTTCAATCATAGAATAAGACCAGGTAGCTTTCCAGGAATTGACATATCAATGTTAAGTGAATTCTAATTCATCACCTGTGCAAATCTGTTTCATAGTCCAAAATTTCTGATGTTTTCCAGGCGTTTCTCACGATTTTGATATTTGAAGTGCCAGGAAAACATCAGAACTTGCACCTTTATGAAAAGTGAAAATTCGCTGCCTCCAACCAGAGGTGACATTCTCAAGTCGATTTTCGACACATGCGAACCGAATTAAATGTCTAACTCACATTTTATGAACAGAACAATGCTTCTAGTACTAATTATATCACTTTTATTGTTGCTTTGTAATATAAAGTGTCTGGTTAAAAGATTTTATCAAAGTTTCCAGGTTTGTTTTGAATACGTGCATTTTGAAATCTCGTGAGATGTGTATAGAAATTTGCCATGATATTTTCTTTAAAGCGATCTTAGTGAGAACTAGAAGCATTGTGCTATTGATAAGTTGTGATTTTGTCTTTGAATTCAATTCGCAAGTATCGAAAATCGCGTTCAGTAGGGGGTGGCGAAATTTTCTTTTATCATAATGCCGCCGGTTCCGACATACTTCTGGCACATCAAATATCAAAATCGTAAAAAAACGTCTGGAAAACATCAGATATTCGGACTATCTGTTTCACTGTGAATTCAGACCTTTATTTTTATTCCCATTTTACAATTTTTCTTGTTCTATATACTGTGCAATCAGACACCCTGTCTATTCCAGCACAAAATTTGTCTCTCAGTCCATGTTGGATAAGACAGGTTTCCCTTAAATTGTATTTATTGCAAAATCTACAAAATTTGATTGTCATGAAAATTTATTAAAACCACAGTACCAAGTATTGAGAAAATGCATAAATATTTAATTTTTTCAACAGACACATGTACTAATGTAATCTTACTTACCTTTCTTTTTTCCTCCTCAGTGCGGGCATCACTCCTCACGTTTTGCCAGGGTAGGTTGGAGGGCCACCACACAGGACGAAACTCCTCTTTCCCCCAGCCAGGTTTACTTCTCCCCGTGGAATACTTCAACATCTCAGGGATAAAGTTTCTCAGCTGTGCCTGTAAATCAATCATTTCTACCAAATTGTTTCACTGAACTTCTTTTACAAAGGGAGACAACTAGCAAAATTTGTTTTATTTAATATCATTGTGTGCAAACCTTGAGAAAAAAATATATCATACTTATAGTTACCTGTGTCATTTTATCTACTGGGGTGGGGATACCATCAATGTTTAAGGGAGGTAATTCGTGAAGACCTGACGTGTCCGGCTGGGTGGGTGGAGCTTGTTCATTCAGAGACTGCTCCAGTTCTTGGACAATCATACTTTTGTTGTTCCTCATCTATTATTATATTTATCTTATAGTCACAGTGTTCTTCAAATATTCTAAGCTTATCAAACAAATGTTATATCTATATTTGTCATTAGCAAGTTAAAAGATTAAATAAACTATGAATACATGTACTACTCGAAGTCTTCTGATAACTTACCACTCCCTCCAAGGGCTGTGAACCAAATACTTTGAAGGCATTGATGGATTGACTCATTTTTCCTGGAGTGACACACAAAACCACTGCCTGCTGTCCAATCCGAGTATTGTACTCATCTATAGTAGCCTTCAGCTTCCTGAATTAAAAGGGAAAAAAATGAATATATCTTTCAAATACTACTCTAACATCTAAATAAAGCAAAGTGAATTAGTAAAATCCTTCCTAGTTCTACTTAATTCAAAGAATAATATGATAACCTCTGCTCTTTACTGTATAAGAGATGCATCATGGGATTCCAAAAGTGACAAATCTGGTTTAAATTGCAACATGAGATTTGAACCTTTTACTTTAACCCGACATTATGCCAGGCTTGACCTAGATTTAACATAATTGTAATGTAAATATCAGAGGATGAATTTCAATTCTGCAGAACACTCTACATTTAGAAAGGAAAGAAAACCAAACTTGTCCCATTAAAACTTTGGGTGATTGAAATACACATGGATATCAAAATATCTTTATTTTAAAAATTAAAATCTGGATGATATATAAAATATACATGTATTGTACAAAATTGGTACATACTGATTACTCAACAAAATTAGTTTAATTGTGGATAATCAATGGCATAGGACAGAGACATACCAAAATTTGTCTCTAGTGTCTTAGAGATATATTGATTTGTAAATTCCAGATGAAATTGATAGGGATTTAATACTAGATCTATTTAAACAGTTTTTTTTTTTTCTTTTTACTTTGTAAAATAATGGACTACTGATATTCATATGTCTAGTTTATGTTAAAATACAATATTTTCTTATACTTTAGCTTTTACATGATCATTTATTAATTTTTTGCTACAGGATCACCAAGCAGTCTAATACCTAAGTCAAAAAATGTGGACACACAAACCTGTTTAGTTATCTAGTCTGACAGCGAATGACATTTCAGTTGTGATGTTTATTTATTATGTTTATCAGTATCACTGTTATTGCAATCATTCTTTTGATTTCAATACCATTTTTAAAATATAAACAGATTTCCGATACAAACCAAACCCGAACTGAAATCCAGAAAAATGTATTAACAATTTGGACTGTGTTTTCTTGGATATTTCACAGAACAGTGATGTAACAGCCCTATTGCTTACCCATAATTCTACAAAGTTTTACCTGAGAAGTCGTGTTTGTTGTCGTTTTCTCTTGGAAGGGTTGGTTTCAAAATGATGTGGATGTTTTCGTTTTTTACCAGAAGCAATGGCAGCTGCTGCTGCTACTCCAATAGGACCTGTATTCAAATGTAGACATTAATCACTGAGTAAAATAGAAAACTGTTACAAATGATCAAAATGAGACAACATTGTCTGCTTTAAAAATTCTTGACAAATTAAACACAAAGGTTCTGTCTAAAAACAAGATGCAAATGATACACATAAATGCCCTAAAAGTGGCCATTTCAAATGAGAAACAGTCAGAAGAAACAATGAATTAGAGATTTTAACAAAATAAATAAAATACCGTATTTTTGGAAATTTTAGCAAGATGAAAATTTAGCGATTTGTTCTTAAAAATTGTTATTTATTTTTAGCGAGAAGTAATTTAAGCGATTTTAAAATGCACACTAATAATACAAATAAAATGCAACTAATTTTTAGCAATATACAATTTTAGCGATCTCAGCACCTTTGTTAACAATGCCAAAATTAAATCCTCGCTAAAAATTCTGCTGATACGGTAACTACAAGCTACAAAATACGATGAAAATAAAATAAACCTGCAGCAGCAAGTTGAGCTGTGACATCATCTTGAACTGATGTACTTAGGAGGTCCGAGGCATCAAATGTCGAGCTATCGGGAGAGCTAGGTTCACTAAGGTCGTCACTTATCATGCCGGAGCTGATGTGTCCCATCTGTTGAGTGTTAATCGTTATTGCGTTCATGTTACCCATAGAAATCCCACTTCCTCCCGACGAGGTCACCTGATATGACATATTCATCTCCTTCTCAAAGTTGGGTTCTGCGTAGTCAAAAAGCTGGGATTAGTGTTCTGTGGGGGAAAAAAAATGTGAATCAAATTAATAATTTTGTAACATGCTGCAATTTACAGAGAAAACTCATTTTAACATTTTGGAGTTGTATGGAAGGTATTCCATTGAAAGAGTCTCTTAAATGTGCTTTCATGGTATGGAAAAGATGACCAAACAAGAAAAGCCCAATGTTGAACCTCTGATTCCTCTATAATAGTCCCTGAGTTGCTGTAAGTAAATCAAGTCTTTGTCAAAATACTGTTGAGTTGGATAATGTTCCAGTTTAAACACCTATAGGGTGAATTCACCATGCATGCAGCACACATAACCATGTATTTGACAAATAAAATTAACAACCTTAGATTTTTTTCTTCACAAGTGCAATTTTTTTTTTTTAAATACAAAATATATCAGTGCAAGTTTCTATTTATTATATTATTAGTTGATCTAATCAACGAGAATTTCCAGAGAAGTCATGAGGTGAATTACAACTTTGACAAGTTATAAGGTCTCTGAAATTATGAACAGTCTCAGATATGACACATTCTATAAAATTTGCAATTATTTTTAACAAAATATTTAAAAGCAATTTCTTTCACATTGGAATAGATACAAATAGACACAGGTGCTCTGATATAACTGAGCTATCTGGCCACCATTGATAGAACCTTTTAGACCATTTTATGAGCTGATTTCCAATACTCTCTGTGTGTAAATACAACTTTTTTACGGATGAATGAAATACTGTAGATCACAAAATTTTCGCAACACCTTATTTTCACAAGATATGTATCTGGTATTTTTAAGCGAGACAAAATTTTCACGAATTCTGGGTATTGTGTATAATCTTACTAACAAAAAATTTGTACGCGAGAATGAAATTTTCGCAAGCAGACCATCTCACATAATAACATGAAAATAAAGTTCTTGCAAATAAAAGGTGATTTACAGTAAAGAGAAAACTAGATTCATGTGTGGTGGTCAGACGGGCTTTATATCTGGTGGCCAGATAGCTCGGTAGAGCACCTGACTGGAGATTCAGGGGGCCTGGGTTCGAATCCTGGCCTTTGGTGCCTTGCCATGCCCTGGAAGTGACAGATGAAAGACTTGCCAGGGAAGAGCCTGGGTTGGTGTCTTCAGGGGCCAAAGACCTTTAAGGAGGGAGGAATGTGCATGGCTGTCAGATGGATTCGATCAACAGTAGATCACCTGAATGGAGATTTGCGGGGCTCGTGTTCAAATCTTGGTCTGTTTTGCCACATTTTTCTTCTCTCACATTGCATTAAGTGCCGTGCCCTGAAAATGACAGGTGAAAAACCTGCCAGGGAAGAGTCTGGGTTTGTGTCTTTGGGGGCACGAAGACCATTAAGAAGGAAGGAATGTGGCGGTCAGACGAGTTTGATTGCTAGTGGCCAGATAGCTCAGTATAGCACCTGATGGAGGTTCAGTGGGCCCTTGTTCAAATCCCAGACTGGTCCGTCCTTCTTATTTTTCTCCTCTCCTGTTGCATAACAGTATAGATGTATGCTTTGATGCATGATAAAGGCTTATACACTCATCAGTATGATAAACAATTTTGATTCAAGAACACCTTTTTCCACCACCATCTCTTATTATAACTCATGATACATGTGATAATCATGATAATGTGTACAGCAATCAGCTGATGGACGATAATAATGACACAAGAGAAAGGGGAATAAATCCTACAACAGATGCTCATCTCCCTGGTAGCTGTTCGCCATTTTTGTTTTGAATTTGTTTCTGGGTAAACGAGTATAAATTGTAACAGACACACCGAATGACGATTAATATTATCGCGTGTAGTCTACATAAATAAAAGTTCCACTGCGCATTCAAAATATGGACAGGATTACATGCGCATTCAGCTTTACGGGCGGGGGACAGAGAATGCGACTGCGCTGGAGTGTGCGCGCACTCGCCCAAAACAACGGGCACCTGCCGAGCACATGGATCTCAAAACGTGTTCTTATTACGACGAAATAGGCCCAACATCTATCTTATATTGCTGAAAATAATTCTTGGGATGTTTTGTTTTAGACACTTATCATAAATTATTCAATCGCGTCATTTCTTAGTGTTTCACCGATTCTCGCCAGCTTGCTGTCCGTCCGATCCGGCCACTTTCAGCTCGTTTTTGTCTCAGAATATGTTTAACTCACAAAAATTGCAATATTTTCATTTTGAAGACTTACCATTCACATAATCAGGAATCGTTATTCTGTTGAAGTTTCTCTTCCGAGATTGTATATATTCCTACGCCTCAATTTCATTCAACCGACTTACTGACTAGTTACTTGTTCTTCCACAAACCCTACCGCATAAAGTAGTTCAGAATTGTCAGTGTTATGAATCGAGGCGGCAATGTCTTTTTAGAGTTTAAATTGCATTTTTTATTCTAACAAATGTTCCCACTATTTTATAGAATGTTATATTCGAGTATAACTGTATTTTACTATAAGATATAATCAATGGTATAACGTTACTTCATTTATTATATTCTGTGAGGTTACAGAATGTGAAGGGGCGAACAGGGTAAGCAGTAGTACTTTGAAGGAATGGTGTGGGAAAAAATGGGAGGAGCGAGACAAAAATGGGAAGGTTTGTTCACTGTAACAGGGAACTACATGTATATGTAATAAGTATTACAGTACAAATTGGATCCTGATTGTAGTCGCGGCGTGTTTGAATTAGCCGAAGGCCTTCTCAGAAGATTTGATCACGTACCGACCCACTTCAATTCCCATTGAAGTTTTTAAACTTGTTATTTATTACTTATATACACATTTGAGACGGACAATAGAATGTAATCGAATATAAATATTGCACTAACTGTACGTCGTAGATTTTGACAAATTACGCTAGGTGTAAATCGGCTTGAAAAGCGGTTACGCTTCAAATTCATCTGGCAAAGGATTCTGTTTTGAAGGGAATATTCTGTGAAAGGCTACTTGTGATCAATTATAGTGAGCATATTGGTGTCTGGGAATTTTTGTATTCATGAGAACCCATATTCGATGTTAAAAAACACAAGAAACACGTCCGATGTTTGATAATAAAAAGTTGGAGGAATTTCGGTCGGAAAGGGATGGATGGAGACACTTGTGCGGACCAGATAACTTGAAATCAAGTACAAAATTTGATCAAAAACTTAAAATCTACGGTTTCAGTAAGGCATATTTGTTTAATTTATGATGTTGACATGGAGACACTGGCGACAGCTTACATTGTTAAGACAACGTCACAACGATCTCGATGATGGAGGTGTGCCTACCCTTCAAAGTGCAGTGTTTGTCAGCTGTTCGTGGCGTGATTGCATTACATTGATATTTTTCTACAGATTTTCAAATTTATTGTGAGTAAAGTTTAATGGAAAAAAAATTATAGCATTCAGAGGTCTGCGAGAAAAATAAGGGTAAACGTTGAGACTATGCAGCTCAGACATGGAACTTATAACATGTAGTTTTCTATTCTCTATGTAAAACCGATCAAAAACTGTATTAAATACTCGTTTACATTGTAAATAAAATGATTATTATAATTTACTTGTGTATTTTGTACATTTTTATGCATGAAAAACATGCTATATTGCTTAGTGGAATAAGTCTTTTTATGTAGATATTACTGCGCTGTGTGATTAGGTCACGTAATGACCTATGACCTTTGAAAAACTTCATACAGGTATGAAGATATTTGCTCTCTGCATGTTTATATAATAGAGAGATACCACAAATGTATATAATTAAATAGCTCAAGCTTATGCATTCATGAATGAAGAACTCAGAAATACAAAATTTTTAACTTTGGCCAAATGTAGTACAATTTCGTTTCCTTTTTATTTATTTATTTATTTTTTGGTTAAACCTCTACATCTATATCTCTTTCAAACTATACCCAACTCTTTATGAATTAACAAACACAAGAAGCGCTACATATAGTGAATGCAAAAAGAGAATATGATATACTAGGGCTTAAGATTCAAAAAGGTATCTGAGTGTTGAACAAAATGAGATAAACTTCCCAGTGCACGTAGTGAATCCTCCTTAGAATGTTACTCGTATTTCTTATATTTAAGGAATAACTGTCTTATTTTTTGTATTCATGATGTGATCAATCGAGTGGCTTGCGTGATAATTTGCATAAACGTCGAAGGCGTTTATGCATAAAATTATCACGCAAGCCAATCGATTGATCATCGTCATGAATCCAAAAAATAAGACAGTTATTCCTTATATTTACATGCTCCTGATTCTGCAAATTCCCGTGCTAATAGCCCCGCTTCTGTCTCTATTTGTCCCGCCCCGCACGTGATTTTTTTTAACCGCGCCGATCGATGAACCAGTAGATTTATGTAGAAATAAAGTATTTTTACAATTTGTAATTTTATCTCGGACAAAGACATTGGAAATGTAAATATTAATTCATAAATACCATTCATATTACATTAACCCCCCCCCCCCACACACACACACACACACACATACACACACAGACATTGGGGAATTTTGTAGCCTTCAATTGCACATTCCTCTATCAAGAGAAGGCACTTACTGAAGATTATTTTTTCGATCGGGGAAAATGGGAGGAGGGGCAATATTTTGATTAGGAGATGAGCACTATGTCTTTAAAAACATAAAAATAAATAAATTAATTGATTAATAAATGAATAGAACTAAAACAGAAAACAAACAAAACAAAACGAAACAAAACAAAGAAGGTGATCTGTAAAAGGGAATAACTATACTTCATTCATTAGCATTAACTGTCTAACCGTGGGGGAGAGTGAGATGGGCTGTGGACCTACATTTGGTAAACTGAAAGTCAAAGTGCTATTTTCTGTTGAGGGAGGGCATATACATATCTGGTATGCATGAGTAAAAGAAATAAAGAGGATGGGTCTAGGTTTCCGTCTCCAAGGTTTCTTAGACGAATAATGACATACATTAAATTTCCCTGGTAATTAAGTAGTACTTGTGCACTAGATTTCAAGCTTCGCAAGAACTATCGACTAATGTAGGTTAAATTAAATCACAACATTATAACAACATTTTTGCACCATAGTGTACTATATATATATATATATATATATATATATATATATATATATATATATATATATATATATATATATATATAAACACTAAAAATGACCAACGACACGAACAATAATAATTGTCAAATTTTCGGGACGACCTGTCCCTCAGGACAAAGAAAAAAGTTAAGAAGTCATAAAAACAAAGGAAACAGAGAAGCAAAAACAACTAGCACTACTATACTAAACTACCAAACACTAAATATTTACAATGTTACATGTTTAATTTGGAGTTTATAACAGTTGTGAACAAAGAAATCCGGAGCGCTATGAATTGCGTCCGGTCTATCGGGTGTACTCTGGTGAAGTGTGATTTACATAATTGAACGAATTAATTATCGCTAATTAATCACGACCAACAGTAAATCGTACATTGTCTTATTCTCTCAAAGTAGCGTAACTCTACATGATAAAAAGAAATTAAAGAAAGATAATATGGAAGGACAATTTTGAAATATGAATTTGGATATATTATAAATTTGGAAATCGGAAAAAAGAAAAAAGAAATAAACAAAAATGTAAGCTGTAAATATTTGGGTAGGTTGTTCCAGGATTGCTAATACGAATTAACGGTAAAGTTTACACTATATAGAGAGAATGAACTTGTTTGTTACAATCCGGGATTAATTGGGTCTAGTTCACGTTCATCCTGGTGAAGTCATTAAGTTTGTTAATACCATTAGGGCGGAATGACTTCAGCCTGTGCATCCAGAACTTTTCCTTGCCTTTTCTCTGCGCGTCTGTCCATCTTGGATTATGGTCAATAACCACTATTGTCATGTCCTCCCATTTGTGACCTTCAAGGTTGAAATATTCCCCAACGGGTTCATTGAGTTTTTTGGTCCTAATGGTAGAACGGTGATTATTGACTCTCCTGCAGAGATCTCCTGTTTCACCAACATACTGTTTGGAGCAAGCTTTGCAACAGATGATAAATGCAGTTGTCTGTTTGACAGGACAAATTCCCTAGTATTTTGTAGCTGCGGCCTGTAACGGGGCTGTTAAAACTGACTGTGTCAGAGCTGTACTTACAGAGAAGACATCTTCTGTCAGAGCAAGTTTTAAAGCCGTTCTACCATACATGATAGAAAATGCCTTGGGTAGCCCCCCCCCCCCCCCTTCTCTTAATTGTTGCTGTTGGGCTGCTCCTGCAGGTACATTAATATTTAATTTTTTAGTGTATACACTGTTTGTATGCTTACATGATTTATTTGTATTGCAGATTTTTATTTCAAACTTGTTTCTCAGTATGTATTATATAATTAAAACTGGCGTGAAGGATAACAATTTTTTTTTATCTCAATGTATTCTTTTACTACGAAAGCCTATTAGGATCAAACTACGGTAAAAAAAAAAATTAAAAGGCGTTATAACGCCTTTTCAAAAGGCGTTATAACGCGGAAAAAGGCGTAATAACACAAATAAAGGCGTAATTACGCCTTTCAAAAAGGCGTTATAACGCGAAAAAAGGGTTATTACGCCTTTTAAAAAGGCGTTATTACGCCTTTCCAAAAGGCGTTATTACGTCTTTTAAAAAGGCGTTATTACGCCTATCCAAAAGCGTTATTACGCCTTTCTAAAAGGCATTATTACGCCTTTCCAGAAGGCGTTATTACGCCTTTCCAAAAGGCGTTATTACGCCTTTCCAAAAGGCGTTATTACGCCTTTCCAAAAGGCGTTATTACGCCTTTTAAAAAGGCGTTATTACCCCTATCCAAAAGGCGTTATTACGCCTTTCTAAAAGGCATTATTACGCCTTTCTAAAAGGCATTAATACGCCATTCAAAAAGGCGTTATTATGCCTTTTGAAGGGCCATTATTATGTCTTTGACAGGCCCATGCTTTTGAAGTGGGGGGGGGGGGGCTCCCATTAAATTGACAAGCAATAAAAAAAAAAAAAAAAAACAAGAAGCACCCCCCCCCCATAAACTGCCTAAACTTGAGGTGAATCTTTTTTCTAACTTTTCGGTAAACCTTTTTTTAAATGCAATGACTTGCCTGAGTTTAACCATACTGCAACAAAATGTTAAGGATCCAAGCAATCAATAAATGATTTTTTATATTTAAACTATAGCAAGACTATTCTCCCAAAAAGTGGGGTGGGGGAGCCCCCCCCCCCCCCCGTATTCTTACTACCGGCCTGTTTGAAAAGAAGTTATATCCAAAAATGGTAAGGCGTTATTTTAAAATAGTAAATATATGAAAGATTGAACCAAAGCCATCTTTATTTATGCAATATTTAGATTATAGTTATGATATCATATTATAAATTATATTATAAATTATAGTATTTTCTATATTCCTGCACATCTCGCAGACAGTTGTTTGCATTTTGCATGCATATGCATATTAAGAGAAGTCAACACTCTACTTTTGAAAATCCAGGATATAGGCAAAACCAGCTTTGGGCTTTGCTAGCCACGTATTAAAAATTCATGTCAAATTTGAAATATTTTTCTTTCCTCTTGGAAAAAAAACAGGCAAACTATTTGCATAGGTATAATGAGCAATTAGCCTTCAACCAAATTTCTGAAATCCATGCACCTTGGTAGAGGCGTCTGGCATCAGAGAAGGACTAAGTTGGTTTAACACTGAAAATATTTTACACATTTAAAAATCTTTTTTCCTGGAAATCTAATTATAATCAGCCCCAAAGATGGGCTAAGTAAGTCATGTATTGAAAAAAAAAACGAGGCGTAATTACGCCTTTTGGAAAGGCGAAATGACGCCTTTTACAAAGGCGTAATAACGCCTTTTGGAAAGGCGTAATAACGCCTTTTTCCGCGTTATAACGCCTTTTAAAAAGGCGTAATTACGCCTTTTTCCGCGTTATAACGCCTTTTAAAAAGGCGTTATTACGCCTTTTTTAGCGTTATAACGCCTTTTGAAAAGGCGTTATAACGCCTTTTAAATTTTTTTTTTACCGTAGTTTGATCCTAATAGGCTTTCGTATTTTACAGATAATTTTCTGAATTTGCATAGTCAAGTGGATATTTTTATCTATCTATTTTTCAGGATATTTCTGATAAGAAGAAGGAATTAGAAATCCTAAGGTTGAATAAAATTTTGGAAAATGGAAAACTGGAGATCATCATCCGTGGCAGAAGAACCTGAATTTTACACACAAGCAGTGGAGACTGTTAACTCGGTTAGAATATTATATGACATTTAGTGAGTGATACCCCGGCAGCTCTTGTGAAGTTGCAAGAATATTTAATGAATTAGTCGTTTACAGGTAAAAACTGGAAATTTTCTTCATTTTGTTAAAACTCTGAATATTAGTGAAAGTAAAATTATACAGGTACAACTGGATTTATTAACCGCAATACATACACAATGTATATATCCCGTACCCAGGCAATAAATAACATTTTCAGTCTTTGTGCATTATATTTAATTATGAATTAGTTTGTTTTATTAAAAAAGATGTAATGGACGCCCTGTCCCTTTTTAAGATAAATTTTCAAAATTTTATTCCTGAAAAATAATATTTCATTTTATTTAGCGATTTTCCTATTTCACCCCCCTCCCCCCCCCCCCCCCGCCACCAATTTTATTGAATTTTAGTTCACATGCAGGTTTTAAATGTTCATGCTAGATTTTATTTTTGATAATTCTATCTTTCAACTTGAATTGAATTATGTATCTACATGTGTGTGTTAGCAAATGTGTTGATAAATGTTATAATTGTTTATAAAGTTTGAATCTCTGTTCAACATTAAATCATTTATTAATTAAGCTTTATGTACATGTTCATCATCAAGAACAGTGTGTTTTGTACTGTTTTATGTTTGTTTCAAATAAAAATGTTGAAAACTTATAAACACGTTTAAGTGTTTATTTATTTTGTAAATTAAACACGTTGAAGTGTTTAAAAAATGACGTATAAACATGTTTAATTGATTATTAACTGTTGCATCGAATAAACATGTTTAAGTGTTTAAGTGTTTAGGTTGAACGTGTTTATTAATAAAACATGAAATGTTTAAATTTTAAACACGTACGGTGTTTATTTAGTAAACTCCTTGTGTTTATTCAGTGTTTAGTCTTTAAACGTTTTGTGTTTTTGAAGTGTTTAGTATTTAAACAGAATGAGAAGGAAGTATTTAAATATTAAACCTCATGTGTTTAGAATTTAAACATTCTAACGTGTTTATTTCTTAAACACTTTACGAAGTGTTTAAATTTTAAACGTGTTAAAGTGTTTATTATCTGTGGCAATTTGGTGTTTATTTTTTAAACACTTATTTTTTACAGTGTAGAGTTACGCTATTTTGAGAGAATAAGACAATGTACGATTTACTGTTGGTCGTGATTAATTAGCGATAATTAATTCGTTCAATTATGTAAATCACACTTCACCAGAGTACACCCGATAGACCGGACGCAATTCATAGCGCTCCGGATTTCTTTGTTCACAACTGTTATAAACTCCAAATTAAACATGTAACATTGTAAATATTTAGTGTTTGGTAGTTTAGTAGTAGTGCTAGTTGTTTTTGCTTCTCTGTTTCCTTTGTTTTTATGACTTCTTAACTTTTTTCTTTGTCCTGAGGGACAGGTCGTCCCGAAAATTTGACAATTATTATTGTTCGTGTCGTTGGTCATTTTTAGTGCTTTATATAAATTTCCATCCGTGACCTTGTATCTACTTAGTAGATCCGACACTTATGATATACAGTGTTGTTGGTTTTTAGTGCTTTATATTTATATATATATATATATATATATATATATATATATATATATATATATATATATATATATATATATATATATATATATATATATATATATATATGTTGTATATTTGGAATTTACTAGGGGAAGGTAAATGCAAATTTTACAACATGATATCTTTGTGAAGAAATTAAGTTCTTTTGGAATCAAATACTAAACAATGAACAACTGTAGATTTTCTTTTCAGGTAATATATATATATATATATATATAAAAGGCTCAAATCTTCAATTCAAACTGTTGATTTTTCTAAGGGCAGACATATTTCCATATATCTACATGTGTACAGGATGTCCCAAAATATATGATACCATTTGAAATACCTGCCACAAACACATCCCTTGGCCAATTTCTTTCATACATGTCTTTAAAATAAAATTGGACAGTATATGCAATGTTTATAATGCATTTGTTGTAATTCAATATTCATTACATTAGGTTTTACAGAATCTTGAAATGGTATCATATATTCTGGGACACCCTGTATATATAATGTGGACGTACTTTTTCTGTGTATGTTAGTTAACGCTATGTACGCAGTCAAATATGACACAGCGTATTTAATTATCTATGATCTACAATGGTATCCGCGTAATTTCCTATTCGCGGATTGAACAGAAATTGAGATTCCACGGAATAAAAGTACGTTTACAGCATATTTTATATATATATATATATATATATATATATATATATATATATATATATATATATATATATATATATATATATATATATACCCCGTATAACGGGTATTTTCTGCGGTTGGAAATTTTTGCGATTTAACCCCTAAAAGGTAGCAAATTAATTTCTGCGTTTTCAATTTCTGCGGTTGCACTATACCGCAAAAATTTATTTACGGGGTCCGATCACTAAACTTTATGAATTATCAGAACGCTGTCATGTTTATGTTTATAAATTCATTAAGACATATTGATCAAAGCTGTATGAGAACTGGTATTAAGCTATTAAGCTTAATTAAACTACTATCTTTTAGTTAGTTTTTGTAAAAATATTTCGAATACCAATTGAAATGAATTAATGCAGTGTCAGTCCACCCAAACAACAATACAAATCTTTATTCAGACGTTTTATGCGATCTATTAAAATATTTAAATATATAGATAATGATAATAAATGCATCCAAGCCATATTCTAAAATACGCTTCTAATTAACTGCCATCAAAATTAATTTGGTGTTTATATTTTAAGCTAAAACAAACAGTTGCATAATCTAGTACCCTAAAGTTGACGGTTAACAATCACAGGTGTCATGTGCATTGAGCCGTAACTAATCCTGTCAGTCGTCTGCATTAGGTGAAATTCACGAGACGATCAAGCCACACTGTGTATACAAGCAGTAATTATTGTCTCAATATAAAACACAAGATTAAAAAAAGTGTTTTAACAAGAAAAGCTACCATGTGTTGTTTGCAGCTATCGGAGTTTGGATTAATAATTGCGAAATAGGTACAAGTAAAGATGTTTTTGTATCAACTTATGATATTATTTACAGGAAGGTTCTGATTCAATATGTTTTGGATAAATCCTAACATCTAAAATCTTCGAATTTCGATGACACCCGAATTTTCTTGCTAACGAGGATATGTCCACTCATGAGTCTGCGGACGCATCGCTTTTAAAAACCTTGCGTTCCAAATAATTTTGCTGCGTCCAGTACGCAGGTTCTTGCGTTAATGAGAACCCTGTCAGACACACGCACCACTTATCATAATTGCATATACAAAATATCTATATGAATATTGAAAAATATTTTGCGATTGTAATTTTTGCGGATTTGTCCTATCCGCAAAATTCCGCAAAAATTGGACAACGGCAGAAAATACCGGTTATACGGTATATATATATAGAGAGAGAGAGAGACAGAGAGAGAGAGAGAGAGAGAGAGAGAGCACTGGACCTTAACATACTAGTAATTTCAATGTAGGTCATAATATTTTTTTCACTAAAACACAAATAGCTTGAGTATTAGACATTTTATTCATTTTTTTCATACATTGCTTTTCCAACATATACACATACATGCATGTACTTCTAAAAATGAACGTTCAGTCTATCATAAATGGGACTACTTTTGAGTTTTGTTTCGTACTTAATCCAAAATAGTTCATATTGTCTATAGAATCCCGTTGTCCAGAGATTGTATTTAACCGCATACGTATTTAATATAACATGCTCATTGTTATACTGTTATAAAGTGTGGGTCTTGAGCAATAAAAAAAATCAATTGAGAATATAAAAAAAAATGTATTATAGTACGTGCAATCAGCAAATTGAGAAATGTTAGAATGATCGATTTTCTCTGTCATGGTTGCATTACCATAGAAGTACATGTACTCTCACAAGCAAGCAAAAAGAACAAGAAAAAAGGTATTGCACATAACGTCCGAAGTTGATGTACATGTATATCATACGTACGTAAGATAAATGGACGGAAATGCTCTATACATAAATCTCTCGATAAATATTTTTAATATATAAATGTTCATGTACAATTACTTTTGATTTATATCACATATCGAGTATCACCACATGATCAACCCTGTATTCCTGTTGCAAATAAAAATCTAGGACATTAAATGCATGTACAAAATTTAATTGATTAAATCACAGAACAGCTCATATTTTTAAATGAGATTAAATAACGTATACTAAAATTCTAGTCTTCTACGCTGTCCTTGGCTTCCAAAGAATTTAAATTCAGAACATTGAGCACAGTATTCATGGAAAAACACCCAGACCTAACGTTTGACTACGTGCAAAACCTTTCGAATTTTAAACCAGCGATAAAATTTAAATGGGTCTAGTGGACATTTTGTTTTAATTTGTATTGTGGACTAAGAATCCAATTTTTAGAACATATAAAAAATAAAATATTTTATAGTTTTGTGAAGGGGTGGAAAAATAAATTGATGAAATGAATTAAAAATGGACTAGGGGGACTTTTAATTTTTAATATGGTGACAGCTAAAAGCGTAAACAAACGTTATTCACGCACCATTTGATCCTCCAAACTACCTTGAGAATTAAGTAGATCAATAACTCGAAACCAATATACGTGGCAGCAGAAATTTAAAGCTCTGATGGTCAGTGTGTCTTAATAATAAAAAGTTGGCAATTTTCCATAATGAAGAAATATATTATAAGTGATACTTAATATGACTCAAGAATTTTCCGTTAGATAAAAAAGTGTTGTTATTATGTGTATTTCTATAAAAGATATTGGACAAAAATGAATTCAGTAACTTAAGACATCGTAAGAGTTCAACATAGCATCTAATAGATATACTCTATATTAGTAAAATATCTATCAAAGAAATAAATCACACATTCTGATCAGCTATTCGCAAACTCTTCCAAATATTTCGAATATCTTTCTTCACAAGTGCGTACAGCTTTCACGAAGTAATCAACATCTTTTATTGCTTCTAAAAGGTCTGCCTGAACCATATTCATCTTCTCGTATTGAACCGCCTCTTTATTGGATATACTTCTCGCTTCTTTAGCTTCCGGTGATTCGAACACTCTCACATCCACTATACTGTCGTGTTCGAACGTCCGAATGTTGTCATCAAAGAAAATGTGATGGACGTCTTTATCAAAAGGGTCTATATACAGAGGTTTGGCACTTCGATGATGATATGTATTACCTTGCCAACACAAAAAATCGTCCTGAAAGGCACATATCCCCTCTGTTTGACTGAGCATTGTGTAAATTTCACGGTCACCTGTATAAACGGAAGTCCCTTCTCCATTTCTAGACTTCTTGTCTTGCACTTCGAAAACAATAGGTTCGTCTGGTTTTCTATAGACTTTACCAGGCGTTAAATTGACATCGATGTCCAAAGGAGTGGGAAAATCGGGGTGTTTTCCAGTCAAACCGTGAGAAAGACTAGTGAGTACGTTTTTAGCATCCAACCCGTACGTCCTGAACACTACAGAGAAATCTCGATTATCTTCACACAGCTTGTAGATGACACGATACACAGACGGTAGGATATAGTGGTAATGCTTTCCATTTTTGCCACACATGGTGAGATGCTCTACTGGATCGTGCATCCATCTCAAATGATGAAGATGATCCTCGAAAACCGGAAGAAAACCCTCACCCATAGCCGTATGGGTAAAGTCTCCAGTGGCAATCCTCAGCATGGTACGATCTGCCGGAGTTTTAACCAGTAACTTTTCTAGGAACTTGTAAATCGTTGTGGTACCTGGAGCGGGAGGAGTGAGAGAGGGAGTGTAAGAATGCCAATGCCATTCTGAATTATTAGCCCTTCCCCACGCAACTCCAGTCAGAAAACTATTTAAAGCTTGCTCCATCGATACTTTAGTTACTGAATCGGCCACAAGCACAGTGTTCCGAATATCGAAATGAATTACCAATTTTCGTCTTCCGCCAGTTCGCCCGGCATTGGTTTTTCCCTGCATGACAATTGACGTTTCCAAGCACGCTTCGTCGTTTAACGGTGGTTTCATGTCGTCATTTTTCATCACTTTTCCACGCCGGGTAAAAATTTTGTGAACAAATTCATGTAATCCAACGTCTCTTTGTTTATACTCCAGTGTATTGAATGAAATTATTTTGTCTTTGGCACTCAGGTATTAGCTTTGAACAATACCTGACTCAAGATCAATACTTCCGACAGATTTACCTGAAGACATGCGCAGTCGAGAACCCTTTAATATTTCCAATATATAAGGTCATCGATGTATATTTCTGTGTTTGCTTTAAATACCCTGTCATGCTTGATCATGCCTAATTTTAACTTACAGGAATGTCACGGTGATTTGGAGTCTTATTCATGACAATCAAGTTAACTATTAATTGATTACGTCTTTACCCTTGAGTAGACATAGAGAAATCAGGTAATTAGGGAATCCCGGCGTCAGTAGCTGTCATGACAACAGTGGTACATTCTCTCTGCGGTGAAGACTTTTTTAAAATTAATTAAATCAATTAAAATAATTAAGCTAATGCTGACTTCGCATGTTATTTTATTTTTTCTATTTTTATACACCTGAGGATCACTTATTAAAATATTTAATTTAAAGTAAAATAAAAGCGTAATTTCTATCATATAAAACTTTAATTCAGTTCACAGACTCTGTTAATTCTTCTAAAAATTTCAATTAAATAAACCAGGTTAAAAATAGAATTAAAGAATGCAAGATGTTTATATATTTTGGGAAGTTGGTACAGGAATAGTACCGGGACTTGGAACTTTAAATTTGTATTTTACGTTTATTATAATGTTGTAAACACATCACATGTTTTAATCGATGCACGGATCTCAGATTGAAAGCCCACTTAAAAAGTCATTGATGTCATAAAAGCAAAGTCATTTCCTTAATCATTTACATTTTTATATTAGAAGTTCATTGAATGATCTAATGGGAATTTCCAATCTTGGCCCCTTTACCCATGTCAAGTTGCAACATAGCACGTTCCGGAAAGACACTGGTGCTTTGTGGGGGCGGTTTGGTTACCACGGAGTCAAAGGAACCTGTCAGAAACAGACAGACGTGTGTCGTCATACGAGAACAATTTTTAAACTCGGAAACCGCACACTCGTCAGTTTTTTTGATGCCTTTTTTTTTTAATGGAATTCTAATTAACAGAGTCATATTTATTTTGCACTAATTATTTTGAAGATGTTTCCAATTTCAGAATTTTTTAAGGATGTTGGCTTGTCCCATGTTTATAAATCATGTTTTCAGAAAAAACTAATTTGTATTATCATCCATTTTTAATGCACAAAATCTTAAATACAGATTTATAACATGGCCATAGGAACCGGGGGGGGGGGTGCCCCCCAATAATTTTGCCGATATATAGATTACTATAGAAGAAATAGATACTATATGCTTGTGCCCCCTCAATAAAAACGTCTAATGATCTTTGCTTCCTACGGGCCTGTTATATATATATATATATATATATATATATATATATATATACATATACAATATATATATATATATATATATATATATATATATATATATATATATATATATATATATATATATATATATATATATACAATATATATATATATATATATATATATATATATATATATATATAATCCTATATGCACTAACGTTAACAACGCTTTGAATTTTCATTATCCGTCCGTGATTTTTGAGACAAAGGACTTTAGTATAGACATCTTTCGATACTGTCTGGTTATAAATATCACCAGTGATATGAACAGTAGAGATGACAATTTTATAATACGATTCTTTTTTATTACTGAGGAGCATAATACACAAAATGCAAATAATTCTGACTAATCACTCGTGCACGTGCACTCAAAGATGACCTTAGCAGATTAAAACAAGATGTGTTTGTGAAACACTGATGCCCCCGTATGACAACTTATAGCGAAGGTTAAACTTTCTCAAATGCAAATCAGATATGTTGGTACATAAAGTAAGGTCTTGTACCGAAAAATACACCTGTGAAATATGAAAGCCCTAGCAGCAATCATTGAAAAGATATGGAAAAGGTCAAAGTTTTTCAAAAGTAAGTCAAACATCAAGGCCAGGGTTAAAATACATGGTGCCCAAGGAAAGGCCTTCTCACAAGAAATACACATGTGATATATGAAAGCCCTAGCACCAATCGTTCAAAAGAAATGGCCAAGGTTAAAGTTTTCCAAAAGTAGGTCAAACTCCAAGGTCAAGGTCAATGGGCTATAATTGTTGGTATCTAAAGGAGGGTCTTGTCAAAAGGATTGCATATGTGAAATATGAAAGCCCTAGAACCAACGGTTCAAAAGAAATGGTAAAGGTTAAAGTTTTCAAAAAAGTAGGTCAAACTCCAAGGTCAAGGTCAATGGGCTATAATTATTGGTATCTAAAGGAAGGGATTGTCACAAGGATACCATATGTGAAGAATGAAAGCCCTAGCATCAACTGTTCAAAAGTTATGGCCAAGGTTTAAGTTTTCCAAAAGTAGGTCAAACTCCAAGGTCAAGGTCAAAGTTGTTGGTATCCAAAGGAAGGTCTTGTCACAAGGACTACACATATGAAGTATGAAAGCCCTAGCACAAACCGTTCAAAAGTTACGGCCAAGGTTAAAGTTGGAAAAATTTTGTAAAACTGGGTCAAACTCCAAGGTCAAGGTCAAAAGGTCAAATATGATGGTACGCAAGGAAAGGTCTTGTCACAAGGAATACACATGTGAAATATGAAAGCCAAAGCTCCAACCAATCAAAAGTTTAAGAGCAATGTTAAAGTTTTTGCGGACAAACAGACAGCTACACAGACGGACGGACAGGGCAAAAACTATATACCCCGAATCTTCGATACGGGGGCATAAAAAACAGATTAAATTCTATAGTCAACTTAGACATTGAACAGTTATAAATATATCAAGCATCCAGCAGCATTACAGAACAAATACGAAAGGCTTCTATTTGAAATCAAAAGATGAAAAAGGAATTACAAATCGCAAACATACTTATTAATTACTAGTACACACGTATGGTGCCTTTAATGTTAGTACTTACATATGTCAAAAGAGTAAACTGTTGCAAACATTGGGAATGCAATAAACATTGAGCTAATGGAGACAAGTTTTCAAATTTGAAATACATTAAATATCATTCTCGATCGGAAACAGTTTGTTCCCCTTCTCAGTGATACATTGTGTGTCAGTAATCTCCCTTTATTCTATGCAAACATATATATAACAACAGTCAACACGTAAAATATGAGATGAAATCTTGGTCCTTTTAATATTCCTCTGTCTCGTCCTCTTCCGCGCCATTTTCAACAGAGTCGACGCCCACTTCTTCATAGTCCCGCTCCAAGGCAGCAAGATCTTCTCGAGCCTCCGCAAATTCTCCCTCCTCCATACCTTAAAATCATCATCATCATCATCATTTTCCCCATCATCACTGAGCGTGTGTCCAAGTAAATTAGAGGTATTTCAAATCATGATATTTATTTCTCAGAAAACACAATATTCTTCAATACAGGTGTACACTTACCTTCCCCGACGTACCAGTGTACAAATGCACGTTTGGAATACATAAGATCAAACTTATGGTCGAGTCTGGACCAAGCCTCGGCTATGGCGGTCGTGTTACTCAGCATACACACGGCTCTCTTGACCTGCGCAAGGTCATCTCCTACACAAAGCAACAAATACTGAAGGTCATTTCAGGTGCGCCATTATACCTTCTATCACTGACTTAGGATATTCATTTAATTAACAGTTTTTTTTATATACACAGATAAAATCTATTAAATACCTTACAAAACCATGGAAGAGAAAAACGTACAAGCAAGGTACACATATACATTTACATGTATGTGCACGAAGTGCAAAGTTATTGTCGAAATGAAAAGATGGGAATTTGGAAAAAATAAAAACCTCAATGCCATACTTCATGTAATGCACGCATATACTACGTGTATTTTAAGATAACTATATACCCGGTACTATGGTGGGAGGTTGGTAATTGATGCCCACTTTAAACCCAGTGGGACACCAATCCACGAATTCTATTGAGCGCTTTGTTTTAATCGTCGCTATGGCTGCGTTGACATCTTTAGGAACCACATCACCACGGTACAACATACAACAGGCCATGTACTTCCCATTCCGTGGATCACACTTGACCATTTGGTTACTGGGTTCGAAACAGGCGTTGGTGATTTCCTGCACCGACATCTGCTCATGGTAGGCCTTCTCCGCTTTAAAACACACATTTAAGTATTAATATCAACACATTAACATCTGATGAATTAATTCTATACGTAAATGTCTCAATCATAAACATACATGTACATAGGTATTAATATTAATGCCTGGATTGAACGAAATTACACAGAATAAAAGTCTCTACAAAATGGGGACAAAACTAAACTACTCTTGGAAGGGAAATAATATCTAGGCATTATAAAGTGTTTTTTGTGCAGGAGAGTTTCAAGAGCATAGAGTATATTCGGGTATAAGGGCACAGCCACGTATCACAGACTGTAAACAGGATAACCAAAGTACATGTAAACCAAGAGTAGAGAGCAGAGTCATATTTGGAAGTACTAGAATCAAGAACCTAGTCAGAACTCACAGGGATAAGATTATATTAAAAACCAAGATGAGGAACAAGATATGTGTGTCTGGAGTATAGACAGCACTATAACGATACTGAAGGAAGCATCAATTCCCTAATGACTTTACAACTGGAATAGAAAACATAGACACAGTGTAATGTAGAGAATATCCTGAGAAAAGTCAGAATACTCTAGAAGAAGACAACACAGTCAAAAACACACTTAGGGTGGACAGCATAGTCAAAATAAAGCGGATTGGAAATAAACGCCATAGTCAAGATACACCGGATATACATCAAAGTGAAAATGCATTAGGAGTGAAAAATCATAATGAAAATGTACTGGGAATGGACAGCATAGTCAAAACACACCGGGAGTAGAAGTATAGCAAAGATACAATGGGATAAGACAGAATAGTCAAGAGACTATGGAAGTAGTCAGCATGGTCAAAATACACTAGGAATGGACAGCACACTCTACATCAACAAATTTTCACGACATCTAATTTTCGCAAGATAGATATTTTTTATTTATAAGCGGGATAAAATTTTTTCGAGAATTCTGGCTATTGCTCTGTATAATCTATATAATTTTAAAAAGTATACAAGAGAATGACATTTTCGCGAGCCGATTGTCTCGCATAAGTACACGAAAATAAAGTTCTCGCGAATAAAAAGTAGTTAAAATACATTGGAAGTAGACAGCATACTTAGAACACACTAGAAGTAGACAACATACTCAAGATAAACTGGAAGTAGACAGCATAGTCAAAAACACTGGAATAGACAGCATAGTCAAAATATACTGGATGTAGACAGCATAGTCAAAATATACTGGATGTAGACAACAAAGTCAGGATATACTGGAAGTCAGCAACACAGTAAAGAAAATATACTGGAAGTCAACAACATAGTAACGATATACTGGAAGTAAACAGCTTTGTTACAGTGCACTGGAGTAGAAAGCATAGTCAGAATACAAACGGAGTAGATATCTTAATAAATAAACACTGAAAGTAGACAGCATTGTTATAATACACTGAAAGTAGACAGCATAGTCAGAATACAAACGGAGTAGATATCTTTATAAAGAAACACTGAAAGTAGACAGCATTGTTATAATACACTGAAAGTAGACAGCATAGTCTGAATACAAACGGAGTAGATAACACTGAAAGTAGACAGCATTGATATAATACAGTGAAAGTAGACAGCATTGTTATAATACACTGAAAGTATAGAATAAACATTAAGTTTTCTAAAACTCTAGATCTGTAAAATACATGTAACCCAATATGACATACACTGTAGACCTAATATAGTGCTCAGAACACGGAGTAGTACCAAAGTGCAGTGCAACACATATATAGGAACAATAAAAACATCCAGATGATTTAGAGACTTGTACAGAGATAAGTAGACACAGCTTCTGTTGTCTGCTTTTTTGGCCTGTATGTCTACCATAGGAGAACGTTTATGTTCCAGTTTACCAAATTTTTGTGTATATATGTAGATATGTGCTTAGGATGCTATACTGTCATATTTTCTATAAGAAATTGCAGGTGCTATTCTAGAGTTTTTGCTGACTCAGGCCTAGGGGCACTTCCGAGACTAATCTATCCCACAAACTGAACATGAAGTTTACAAAGACTTGTGTATGATTTTAAAGACGCATATATTTACGAAAGACATCGCTTCTGACAACACGTGACTTAATCCTCAAGATTTTTGTTTGTCATTTGTTCAAAACATTTTCAATATTAAAGCAAACTTGTATGTATGACGAATTTTTATTTTCATTATGCATTATACATACATTCATCTTGTGTCAATATTTGTATTGTTATCCGGAAAACCCAAGCCGACCTTTTTCGTCATCATGACTCCAGAGATTATTAAATGGAGCATAAAATTCACTGATCGATATTGATTATCTGGACTTACAAGTTTTATCAACCCTATGAAATCATTAAAACGTTTCAAGTTTTGTTTCTAAATAAACTCCTTGAACATCTTTCACAATAAACATACGGGGAACCAAAGAAAGCCATTTTTTGACAAAAAGCCACAGTAAATAACGAAAAAGCTCCACAGTGAATTAATAAGCTCTGTGCATAAAATGAAGATAACCAATACAGTATGTAGTCCATTAGGAGCTAAAATAACAATTCTATCAGAGAATCGGGGGGGGGGGATCTATTGGAGAGTTTGGAAAATTTAGTGTATGGACAAAAACACAGCAATGCCATTATGTGTTCTCAAAAAAAATTGACAAATAACTACATATCATCTGTATATACAGTATACTGAATCTATATACCCGGTTATACTCTGTATATACTGTATACTGAATCTATATACCCGGGTATACTCTGTATATACTGTATACTGAATCTATATACCCGGGTATACTCTGTATATACTGTATACTGAATCTGTATACCCGGGTATACTCTGTATATACTGTATATTGAATCTATATACCCGGGTATACTCTGTATATACTGTATACTGAATCTATATACCCGGGTATACTCTGTATATACTCTTTGTTTCATATATTACAGAGATTTTTCTTGGGTTCAAATACATTTTTTATAAATAAAAAAGAAAACGTTTATGCTTCATTTACCTGAAATGATTGGAGCATAAGTAACTAGAGGAAAATGTATCCTGGGATAGGGCACCAAGTTAGTTTGAAACTCGGTCAAATCTACATTCAGCGCGCCGTCAAATCGAAGTGAGGCTGTGATGGAGGAGACAATTTGGCCAATCAAACGGTTCAGATTTTTGTAGGAGGGTCTTTCTATGTCAAGATTTCTCCGACAAATATCGTATATTGCCTCGTTATCGACCATGAAAGCACAGTCGGAGTGTTCAAGAGTCGTGTGAGTGGTTAGGATGGAATTGTACGGTTCTACCACGGCTGTTGATATCTAAAAGAAGGATACATGGTTACATACAATTTAACCTCAAACAAATGTAACTTGTACATAGCTTGGAATGAGGTCGAGCTATGAATAGCCTTAAGAAATTTTATGTGAGAAAGGGGCTGTTTAAATTGGAAACAACTTTCCATGCAACATTTGCATTGTTTAGAAGTTTGTTTAATTATTGCAAGACATTTATTTCTTTTGTATATTTACACGTAACGTATTGTAAAGGAATGCGTGCGAATTTGTAAATCATTTAATTATTTGGCTTCATTGTAAATATATGACTGCGGATCATTCAAAAAACCTACATTCTATAAAATACAAAATAACAAGCCCAAAGTGAAAAAAGCTCCTGATTATTCTCTACCTGAGGGGCTGGGTATACTGCAAATTCGAGTTTTGATTTCTTTCCGTAATCAACTGACAATCTTTCCATTAACAAGGAAGAAAACCCACTTCCGGTTCCGCCCCCAAAGCTGTGGAAGACGAGGAATCCCTGGAGACCTGTGCATTGGTCAGCCTGTAAATGATCAACAAGTGAATCAACACGAAATAAACTGATTTAATAAAACATTAGAATACTGTCTTCTTTTGGGGGTATATTTTCAGTCTTTCTCCTCAACTTACAGTGTAAGCCCAAATTGAAAAAATAATACATTTTCCTTATGAATATATTATAACTCATGAATTACCGCCTAAATGCAGAGTTGAAAGTAGATGTAAATGAAATAAGGTTCAAAACAACATAACAAGGGTAGTTATACGTACAAGTTTCCTAATTTTGTCGAGCACCAGATCGACGATCTCTTTGCCTACAGTGTAATGTCCCCTCGCGTAGTTATTGGCTGCATCCTCCTTCCCACTGATAAGTTGTTCAGGGTGAAACAGTTGTTTGTAGTTGCTGCAGCGGACCTCGTCTGGTCAGAAATGATCAATGTCATTATAAAAAGTTGAACAGTTAAACCAGTGTGTTAGAGAAAGATGCTGGGCGAACACAAGTAGTGCTTCCGGTTTCTAGCTATTTAATTTTTTAATGGAATGAAATGCTTATAAAACGTGTACTCAGTATGCTTCGACTTGAACAGCTATTGAGTCAGCTTATGTAGCATATGTATATGAATAAACTATTATAGCATTCAATACAAACCTACTACACTGGGCTCCAAGTCCACGTAAATCGCACGTGGTACATGTTTTCCCGCGCTGGTCTCGTTAAAGAACGTGTTGTAAGACTCGTCCCCGTTGTTGACGGCGATTGGTTTGTCACAGATCAGGTGACCATTTGGGTGGATACCATGCTCCAAGCAATAAAGTTCCCAGCATGCATTGCCCATCTGGACCCCGGCTTGGCCCACGTGGATAGATATACATTCTCTCTGGAAATGAAAAAATCATGAGATCAATGGACTTTCTAGACAGTATACATTTCATTCTTTTTCCTATATCAAGCAGTTGTGATTGTTTACAAAATATTTAATTGTTTCGATACCAGAAGCACTGAAGCATTTGCTGTAGATTTCTGATCGTAATTATCATGACTTTGGTGACCATCCCCAAGAAACTCCAAAATTAAGCACTTACTGTATTACTGTCGTTTGCCTATTACATATATACACGTCTTGTAGAGTTATTTTTTCCCTCTAACCCACCCACCCACCCACCCCGAAAACTGGCTCTAGAGAAGGACCCTCCCCCCCCCCCCCCCGGATGAAAGGCTATAGAGTAGGATTTCCCCCCACAAAAATCCAATACCATGCAGTTTCAATTTTTCCGGGGAAATCCTACTCTGACTATGGCGTGCGATTTCCTCCAATAAAATCAAAATGCATGTATCATGCATGATGTGTGTCTATCCCACTTTCAGAGGTTAAATATCCAAACCAGTTGCCGTTGCCATCGAATTTAAAAAATGGGTCAATTTCTTAAACTGGGAAATTTTTAAAACTTAAAGAAAGCATTTACTTACTGCATGCTTTCATGCAAATCCAAAATTACACCGCTGGGGTCGAGGGGACATACTTGTGCTATGGCTTGCAAGAGCAGTGTTTCTTGCTTTTGGCTTTTTCTCCCTTTGAAAGGCTACTCGATCCAAATACTCACAAAATGGTACATGTATGTGGAAACTATCAATAATTTAAATTTTAGAATTTTCTCGCTCACTCTTTCTAAAAAGCACAAATCCAGAGATAAAATACTGGTCCGTTAGAGGGCAAACAAATTATTAAATCTCTAAAAGTGGCATGGTAAACATATTAAAATTCGTGAATAAACGGGTACCGCTGCGCCA